AAATCTAACTTAAGTATCGTAGGATCGAGTTTCTCAACCTCATAACTAAAGCTTACTATTCAATCGACACCTTATAACTAAATCTAACTTAAGCTTTCTAGTTATCGAGTTTCTCAACCTCAGTTTGAGACAAGCATACAATATAGCTTAGGTCTGCATTAACAAAAATCATTTAGAGATTCTCATCGAAAACTAGAATCTGCATTAACAAAAATCATTTAGAGATTAAAGATATATGTAAAAAGATAAATCTTAAAAACAAGAAAAATTCAAGTTCTAATAAAATTCTAACATTACGTGAAAGAGCATTAATTTTCTAACCTCTCACTAGTTGACCTGCTCGCTAACCTGTTTGGAGGTAGAGTACGATCTCAGAGGTTCACCCTCCATTTGGACTACCCTCGTTAACAAGGTAGAAAAAGAGGTTTACGTAATTATTAATGTATCTTCTCGACCTTATCCATTGCAACTTTTCCTTCTCCTAATCAACCTAAATCCAAAAGAAAACAAAAAAGAAGATATATCTGTACGAATCCCACTCAAGTTGGAATTCATGTCGGATGATGTGTGTATATTTACACACCTCGACTGAAGGGTTTTATAGGGTGGTAAGTGAGAGACTGATGAGAGTTGGCGAGCTAGTCATGGATGGGGCCGGTAAAACTCTTACCCAGCGATCTTTTCCACGTACTTGGGATACTAGAACCTGTGGTGGAGAAAGGAAGACCTCATGGAGAAGGACGAACTTGTGCGCACGACTCTTGCACACTGGATTCAGATTCTCAAATCGCCGGAAGAGGACGATGAGGACTTGCCCGAGGAGGATGAGCTTACGCAGATGCAGTCTCTTCGACCATCAATGCCCGTTCGGTACTTTGACTTTGTTCATCCACGAACCATCAAGCTGGAGACTGAAGAACCTTGAACCCTCCTACACCCTGAACGCTGAAGGAGAAAGAATGATCACAAATAAAAGAATGCGGAAAATAAGTACCGACGAGGGAAGGAATTCAATTACAAGATATAGAATGATGTAACTATACAAAACACTCGAGAAACTTCTCGGCGCATTCTTGTATTGAATGATGTAACTATAGAATGATCTTGACAAGAAGTTTGTGTAGTGGAATTCAATTTTGTATCGGCTACTGTAGTTAACGTAGAATTGAGAAGAGGAGAGAAAGAAATTGAAGTACAAGAAGTTTTGTTTGGACTTGAGGTTTTTGGATCAATTTCTCATATTTAAAAATCAAATTTTTGTAAGACAAGTGTTTTAATCCTTTTTAATATAATTATAATCTCTTCTTTTGTCTTGATTATAAGAAATTTGAAGAGTTTTTCGTTTAGATGTAAAGTTTTGAGTTTAAAATTTTTAGAATTTATGATATATCTATCTTATTCTTGTTATAACTTTTCTAACCAAATTTTGATTTAGGCAAAATTTATTTTATTTGAAAATAGACTTATAGATCTTTTTTTTATGCCTTGACGAAAGATTTAGAGTTTAAATGATTACTTAAACTTCTATTTCAATTAACCCTATAAATTCTACAAAATAAGGATCATACTTTTTAATATTTTAATATTAAACTACTTATAACTATATGTTGGAAACTCCGATTTAAGAAAAACATATTTTGTTAGATACTAGACTTGTAGATTTAACTTTTAGTATTTTACTTGAAAGATTTAGAGTACAAATACCTACCCAAATATCTATTTCAATCAACCCTATAGATTTTGTAAAATAAAAATTTTGTTCTATGACCTTTGGTTACCAAATTAAATTTAAGTCCCGGTTGGAACTTCAATTCATATAAAACTTATTTTATTTAAAAGTAGATTGATATATCTTTAACGATATCTTTCTTAAATAAATTAGAGTATAATTGATTATTCAAATTACTTATACAATGTTCCTTATAGAATATGCCAAAACAGAACTTTTGTCAATTTTACCTTATTTCATATATTTGAAATCGAATTATCTAAAATTATTTTTTTAATTGAGCATATGTGATTGCTTTGAATCTTGTATATTCTTGTTCTTAATTCTTTTTTAATTTGAACGTATTTTGTAAAAGTTTGCGTTTGCATCATATTATTTTATATAGGTATATGTATATTTTCATTGTTTCGTATATATAGCCAATATATGCTAATTTTATTACTTATAATATCCTTTTATACTATGGTATTTATGGGATAATGTGAACTTTTATCAGAAATGATAAAGAGAATTCTAAGACATGAGAGACTTCACCCATGCTTTAAGCCCACGATGCTTTGTTGGCCCCCTCTAACTTCATCCAAACTTAGGTGGATAGAGCTCTAAGACATGGGAGACTTCTATCTGATGGTCATCTAGAAAATGAATAGACCATATTCAGTCTATGATCCCATTGCACCCTTTGTCTTTTTTATATGATATCCAAAACATTGTTTGTGTTTATATATGTGTTTTTGATAAGAATGAAATGAATGTAATGTACATTTGAGCTTCTGTTTCTTATTTGTTATATTGATATACTTTGAAACATTTCGTATGTCATTGATATGCTCTGAAATATTTTATACGTCATTGATATGCTTCGAAATACTTCTTATGTCATTAATATGCTCAAAATATTCTTTACTGAACCAAATATATTTTGAATGAAATGATATTTATGATTTTGTATCTAATGAGACGATATCTATGAATTCCTATTCTTTGCTTTGATACCATGTTTGTTTGAAACTATCCTCTCTCGACATAATCACTTGTTGAGCTTTGTAGCTCACCGTTACTATATAAATCTTTCAAGTTAACTCAACTCACTGAAATATTATAATTGGGCTAAGGCATTGGAAAGCTATTCAGATTTTGGGCAAGTCTTATTGATTGATATGTTATTGTTGTATAAGTATATTTTGTATGTAATAAAATATTATCGATAAATTTAAATTGATGTATCGTGTAAAAGTTTTAAAAGACCTCAATCATTTGAAATTTTGAAATGTTAAGTTTAATTTATGATAATGATATAAACTTGTGGTAAATGATTGGTTTTGCGATTATATAGATTCTCACACTAGTGAATTTATAAGTGTAGTTAATATTTTGTTGAGTTGGTTTTGGATTTTCTGAATTATCAAGTAATATAATGTATGAGTATAAACTGCACAGGTTTATGGATACAAAATATATTTGAATGCTTTTTAGTATCCTCAAATGTTTAGTTTGTATCCTGTATTAGATTGTTAATAAATTATAATATTATTGATTTAAGATAGATTAACACCTTTTGAATAAGTTAATTTGGAGGGTATGCTAGATGTATAGAATATGTTTGACAAACTATTAATGAATAAGATAATTATGATTTCTTCTAATACTATTTCTCAATCAGACTCCATTTAATTTTTTTTTCTCAAACAGTATTTTTAATTTTAAAAATACTCAAACCGTCCATTAAATTTTTTTCTTTCATTACAATGTTTTGATCTATTAAAAAATAGGCAAAAAAAATTTGGTGAAAAGATTTTGAGGATATTTTTTAAATTAGAAGTATTATGTGAAAAAAATGAAAGAGGAGGTATTTTGTAGGAAATATTTAAAATATAAGTATTTTCTTAAAAGAAAATCGTCCAACATATTTTCTGATTCTAGAATAACTTTCTAGTTGAATGTGAAACACTTTGCGATGTAAGTTATATATATATATATATATATATATATATATATATATATATATATATAATCACACATAAGTAATTATATCATATGATCATGGACCACATGCTAATGTGATTAGGCTGGAGCCAGTAGATCTAATAACTCTATGTGTGCAACGGTACATCTCTATGTCATGTGATCGTTTATCTTATTTTCGTTGGTTTTGTCGATATCTCGACACATATCCATATATCACGATCGTTCGTCTTGATCTCGTGAGTGCCACTATTGCTTCTACGCTCCCGCTATGCCTCCTCGTATGATTTCAACTTAGTCATAGACACAATTAATCAATTGTATCTTTATTCTAATTCAGAATCGGACCTGACTGGAACTATGGAACCGTGGTGTTCCGTGGTCAAGGCATGAAGCGGTAGACATTCCAAATTTACATGGCTTTTTATGTGCTGCTGCTACTGCTGCTGTTTTCACCCATTGCTACGACCTAAGACTTCACATTTAATACTTGAGTGCCACTGCATTCAAGACTTTGAAGTGCCCATAAATTGCAAGACTTCGAAATTATTCCATTCACATTTTACTCCATTAATTCCACAGCCTCAATGTTCTCCTATTTCTGCTAATTTGCATACCAGTAGATATAAGAGGTTGATATCTTTGCGAGAGTCCTGTGTCAATGGGGCTTTGATGATTCTAAATGGATTTCATGAACTACACAATCCATGAACCTTATGTGTATCCGAGTGTCACCTAAGCATATAGATAGAAGCGGAAGGTAATTAATCAAAATAAACAGAGAGAGAGAGAGAGAGAGAGAGAGAGAGAGAGAGAGAGAGAGAGAGAGAGATATTAGGGTAGAGCTCCAGACATGGCATGTGGCAAGAACAAAGTTAGAATAGTGCAGGCTACAGTTATAGTGAACGATGGTCTATTATAGTTGTATTTCATATATATTGGCTCCAGTGGATTAAAATTAGAGGATCTAAATTTGTAAGCATGATGTGTCATGTCATTGGTCTTCCACGTAAACAGCTAAACACGAATTGATTGAGACCTTCTTTTAACCTCATTTTGTCCCATGCAAATGAAGTTACCCTCAAACCTGGGATGACAGTCAACAGGTTTCAATGGACAAGGAAAGAGCAGACACAAGCACTCTCTCTCTCTCTCTCTCTCTCTCTCTCTTAATGGACGTTGCATCATTTATGATAGGTCAGGAGATTGATAGAGATATGAAACGGATGCCCATTTAGTCTCGGCTATGTAAGGCGTCTCTTCATCTTTTTCCAATCTCTACGTTGATTTCCTTGCTCGGTTTTGCCATTTCCATGCCGATCACTGTCGTCTCTTCCCTTTCGCTCTTCTCTGATGCCAACCCTTCCTCAAACAGATAGCAACAGAGCCATCGCCTTCGTCGCGGTTGTTGCAGTATAAATCAATGAGAAGCCCCACTCGCTTTATGGTCGCTCTTAGAATTCTGCATTCCTGGAATCCAACCGTAGGGAATGTGGAACGACGCAGTCCTTCCCTCTCTCTCTTCCCCGTTCAGCAGCAGCCTCGGTACCTGAAGAAAATATAGATTACTGCTAGCTCTTGTAATGTGTTCTTCTCAGTTCGTCATGTGTTCATGCAGGCAACACAGGACCACCATGGCTGCAGAGTTCTGATGACTCTACGGAGCTCCAGAGAGTGTAAGCCTCGAAGTCGTTTTGTCTCTCGGTAGAGTTGGATGTCAGCTTTAGCAATTCTTGTGATGAACTTTGCTTGTGAACAGAAACTGCGGCGGACTCCTCGGTGCTCTTCAGGAGAAGTCCGACGGAGGATCCTTGACAGGTTCACTTCGAAGATTCTTAGGCATGTCTAACGTAACAGGAAAGGGAGATCCGATGATGACCACAGGCTGCAGCGCCGCCGGGGTTCTTCCCAAAGTGAGCTGTTCTTGAGTCAGACACTGTCTTGATTCGATCTCTTAGCGTTTTGTTGCCTTGTAGGTTGTGGCAGAACGAAGGAAGCGGAAGATAAGTAGGGATCCTGCAAACAAGAATCAAACACCTTCTTCACCATCATCAAAGAACCCGAAGACAATGTGTTCGAAGACGATGGCCAGAATGCCGCTCATCAAAGTAGGTAGATCTTCACCATGATCCGCTCGTAGCTGTTCTTGTTCTTTTCCTCGATGATCCGTGATCGACATTAATGGATAGGCACCTGCGAGGAGAAGCCAGAAGCTAGGGGACAAAATAACAGCTCTTCAGCAGCTCGTTTCTCCCTTCGGGAAGGTGAACACATCGCTCGTCTCCATTTACTACACTGAATGCATACACCATTCCTGTTTATGACGCGCAGGCAGATACCGCATCGGTTCTTCACGAGGCTGCTCTTTCGATCAAGTTCCTCCACGAACAAATAGAGGTACGTACATGTGGGCATTGATCGAGTACTTCTTGCACGCAAATACATCAAAGATAAATCATGATTCTGCTGCCATGACGCAGATGCTGACTGCTCCTTACTTCGGTATGAGATCCCCGGAAGAAGGTGATGAGGTAATCGATCTGAGTCTCTTTTTGTGGCGGTTGAAGAACAATCATTGCATCTGTGTGTGTAATTCTCAGGGCCTCGCAGACAGCAATGCTGAGTTGCAAAGCAGAGGACTGTGCCTTGTCCCTGTCTTCGCCATGGTTGAACTCCTGGATCAAGAAGACTATGGCCTCAACTTCTATTGAGTTCCATAACTTTTACCAACGTGGGTTGTCTGCCTCTGCCAAGTACTTGACTTCTTCAAGCAAGATCCGATTTAGTTGTCGTTCAAAAGAGATGATGATAAGCCTTTGTTATACTCAATTAAAACATGATCCTATGGATGGTTTGTATGGGTATAATTTTTATGTGGAGATTGTTAATCCCTTACTTTTTACAACCATCTAAAAAGAAAATAGAATATAATTTTATTAAATATAACCACTTAATTATTGATTATACTTTTTATTTCTCACCACTCCTCAATTATCATTGCTTTATATAATTCATTTCATTCTACGATCAATCATCCTTGTGGGTGCTGATGTAAGAAACATTGGTTGCCTCCCCTCCTATCATCTCCGACAATTAGGAGGAGGAGGAGAAGAAGGGAAAGAAAAATAGGTTGTATGAAAGAGTTGGGAGAGGGTGGAAATTAAGTAATAAGTTAAGAATACTTAGGTTAGAAGTATCTTAGAAATATTAGAAAGGTTAATTGTGATTGTGCCAATAGAAATATCCTTTTTCTTTTTAATGTCTACTAAAACCTTACATTTTTCCTTGACCTTGTTTCATGTATCTGTCGTTGTATGTTTGGCCATGTACCGAAATTGTAGACACATATACTGATTTTGTAATTTGGTGACTGATGATGCCATCTTAATTTTTGTTATCAATGTCATTTCATCAATAAGATTGAGTCATGATCTATATATTTATATTCAAAATAGAAAGAGCAACAAAAATATATATTTACAAATTGGATTGGAGAATTGCAGATAAAATAATAGCATAGCATAGCAGTACGAGTGATATGGTGAAGCCTCTAATTAGGAATTATTTCCCAGGAGCCAGACAGACCATGTGGATATGAGGCTTCTTATGGATCCATCCTGTTTCATCAATGTTAATTTTGGCACAACAATTCTTCCATTTATGTACCTGTCATTAAGATTGAGATTTCATATTCATGTTCTCGGTGCCATTAGGGTGCTGCGGCATGGACGTGGTCATGTCAACGTACTTGAAAACATGTCAATTTCATCGAATCAAATTAATAATTTGGTGATATCATATGATGTTTGAGTAAATGTTATAATCCTATCATATATATATATATATATATATATATATATATATATATATATATATATATATATATATATGAAAAATCAAATTCATGAAGAGCATTTGGGTCAATCTTGGATCCACATTATCAATGATAATTTTATAATAATCATAGGTTCCTTACCCAAAAGTACTTGTTAAATATTTTTTTAATCGTATATCATAACCTTTTCCTAAATAGTGTAGTCAAACAATCATTCCCTCGTGATAATAGCTGCTTAACATATCATATCTTCCTTCGAGTTGGATATAATCTTTAAAATATTCATTTTCTCAAAACAATCACTAATGAAGTGGTCATGTTGTCGAGACAATTGTTCCCCAAGGCATTCGTGGCTTTGATGGTTGGATCGTCAAGTTCATCATAGCATCGGTACGGTACAATTGATCAAATCCTGAATTAAACAGATGGCTTATTGGTTGATTTACCATGAGGAGTTAATCGAATGTATCTATTGGGGTAAAATATCATTGATATCCTTGTCAACATAATGTGGCCATAATCCGTACATGTGGAGTTGTCCGAGATAGAAAACGTCTTCTCTCTAGTCGTCATATGCATAAAGACCGAAGTCGCTTCTCGAGCCGATCCCTCCGATGCTTTGTTAGTCTTGAGATCAACTTTTCTAAGTCTAAGTTCTCAATTTGTACCCCTTCTTTTTTCTGGAGTTGAAGGTATATTTTTATACCTGACCTTGAAGAGATGGAATATTCATTGCCTCGAGATAATTAGATCGTCAAATTGACCACAACATCGATATGGTACAATTGATCAAATCCTGAATTGACTAGATGGCTTATTGGTTGATTTGCCGTTAGGAGTTAATCGAAAGCACTTGTTTGGGGAAAATACTATTGACGTCCTTGTCAGCATAATATGGCCTTACTCCATATGTGCGGAGTCGTCTGAGGTGGAAAGCGTCTTCTCTTGAGTTATCACTAGCACAAAGACCAATTCAGGAGAGGCTTCTCGAGCTAGTCCATCTGATATTTAAGTTAGTCCCAAGGTCAATTTCTCTAGCTCTAAGTTATCAATTTGTGCTCCCTCTTTTCCTTAGAGTTGAATATGTGTTTTTATACCTGACCTTGAAGAAATGGAATATTCATGGCCTCAAGATAGTTAGATCGTCAAGTTAACCATAGCATCGATATGATACAATTGATCAAATCCTGAATTGACCAAATGGCTTATTGGTTAATTTGTCGTGAGGAGTTAATCGAAGGCATATGTTAGAAGAAAATATCGTTCACGTCTTTGTCAGCATGATGTGGCTTTGATCCGTACATGCAAGTCGTCTAAGGTATAATGCACATTCTTTTGAGTTGTCATCTACACAAAGATCAAAGTCAAGATAAGCTTATTGAGTCGGTCCCTCCGGCGCATAAGTTAGTCCCGAGGTCAACTTTTCTGGGTCTAAGTTTTCAATTTGTGCCTTCTCTTTTTCCTAGATTGAGGGTATATTTTTATACCTGACCTTGAAGAGATGAAATATTTCGTAAATATTTCATAGGGGAGATAGTTTGTAATTGACTCGAGTTACCCCTGGACTTCCTAAAATATTCCTATGAATATTCCGTAGGGGAGATAGTTTGTAATTGACTCGAGTTACCCTTGGACTTCCTAAAATATTCCTATGAATATTCCGTAGGGAAGATAGTTTGTAACCGATCCGAGTTACCATGTAGACTCCTATCCATTCGGACAAGTGGGTGTTAGCTCGTATGTACATTTTCCTCCCACAAGCCTTACATAGCGTTTACGTGGTAGGTTTTAAGCTGATTATATGTTCTCTATTATTTGGCCCTCTCCCCCCCTCCCGAGGGCGTGCTTCGGGGCTTTTGCAAGAGAGGTTTAAAGTACATCATTTAATTCGTATGACACATGGCCCGAATGTCCTTGACAACATGACATAACCTTGGGAGCATTCGTGATCTCATCCTATGAGTTGGGTCTTCCTAATTCAGGTGTTTTAACACGTTTAGTTTTGCGCCTCTACCATCTTTATCTGGTTATACCTTGAGAATGCATCCATAAAAGGTAAGGAGCTCATGACTCGATGTGGCATCAACTAGTTGATTAATCCAAGAGAGCAGATAGCTGTCCTTCAAATACACCTTGTTGAGATTAGTATATGTAGGAAAATCTAGGAGCAACATCACATGCATAATGAAAGAATAAAAAATAAAAAAAATCTTAAATTTTTTAAAAATATGTTCGTCATCGTGCAAAGATTGGTACGCAAAACCCGTGAAACTTAAAACCATGTGTGAGATAGTTGTGTTACCTAAGGAGATTGTATATCCCTAAATCCTTGTAGATCTATAGGAGAGGATGAAGGAGGTCAAGTATCATCTTCTCTAGTTGTGATCCACACAACAAGGCTACGACGATGCTTCTTAAATCACTATTTAAATCTCTACACCTACTATATGAGGAGGAGAAGGGGAGAGGAGAATAGGAGGTAGTAACCAAGAAGCCTCTAGCCTATGGGTCTTTGGTTCCCTCATATTTATAGAGGCCCTCTGCCAACTTAACCCTAATGGATCTTACCCTATTGGGTATTGGATCTCCATCCAACTACCCAAGCCTTATAGATTATTTGATCTCCATCCAATAATCTCTCATTGGCTCTTATTGGATCTCATCCATAGGATCCAATAATTTATGGGCTTATTGGATATCTAGTGAAATAGGGGCTCCGGTTGATATCTTATATTCGAATATCCACTCATCACAATACCTATAATATGTATGGACCCTTTAAGCCTAATATCGAGTTGGTTGTGAGTCATACCTATCAGAACTCCTTCAGGCTCAGTGATAATAATTCACTCAACTCATCGACTACAAACGTACTAGGCCACTACGCCATAGTCCCTAGACGATACAAGAGAATCCAATCCTTTGGACCTATCTGTCATCAATTACCATATACCTATAGTCTCTCATCCATCTATTATTCCAAAGACCGTATACTGAGTATGGTGTTATCAGACCTATATAGTTTCTACTCGAGTCTCGCTCTAATCTGATTCTCCCAGAGAACTCTTTCTCTCTCAATCCGAATGACCCTAGTTAGAGATTTATCTAAGCAAGAACACATGAATATTCCTCTCATGACACTGAAAGCGAATGATCCTCTATCGACACTCAATAGCCCTCGTAAGGTTGATGTCACTCCCGATGACTGGTTATACTAGATCTAGAACTTCCAAACCTATAAGTCTGATATCAAAGAGTAGAGTACTCATACAGAACATTCTTGGTGTCTCAAGTCTAAGGATCAGGTACACTACTAGGATAACATAATCACTATCTGATAATGAGGTATCATTAACTATCCAGCATTCTATAAGCAGATCAATCAGTAAACTCATTCACCAATGAGCACCTGCACTGTAGCCATAGTGTCCCCATATGGGTAGCTATGAGACCAACTACCTCCATCATATAGACAGGTATACAGTACACTAGTCTGTCCGATTATCTCGGTGTCCCTCTCAAGTAACCTATGACCAGGATTATTTAGGGTTTGTGTTGAAGGTGAATCGGTCTCATTATTGTGATATCATCATCATTCGATTTCCATTGTATAGATCTATGGACATCACAATATATATGTATATATATACATATATACAATAAGCAATATAAAGTGATAAAATATCAAAATATAATAAGAAAAAAGAATGCGTATCATGTCACACATGCCATCACTCACGTGATTGGCTTGTAGGGCACCTATGACTAGCAATCTCCCACTTGACCTAAAGCCAATCACCTATGTTTCTGATCCCTAACAGACCCCTATGATGCTCCAAGACAATATGAGATAATGACTTTATCAATTGATCTACAATATTATCTTCGGATGGAACTCTTTCCACTACTACATCTTCTCCGGCCATGATCTCTCTAATATGCTAGATCCTCCTTTAAACACTTCTGATGAGACTCGGGTTCCCTTATTTGAGCAATGGCCTTGTAGTTGTCGTAATATAAGGGAATCGTCTCCTCACTGCCTAGCACGACTCCTAGATCTGTGATGAACTTCTTTATCCAGACTCCCTCCTTTGTTGCCTTTGCTGTA